TAATGTTAAAATGTTGCGTAAATGTGGCAGAAGATTCAAATACTGAAGTAAACATATGTGAAGGTAATCCCTGTGAGCTGTATATTTTCAGACATTAACTTTTCATACATGAAGCTCGCAACAGGAAAAACCTTTGACACTTGCACTTATCGCCAAAAGCTCAAATTTCATTGACTTTCCAAGTTCACATCTTCATTAATGTCGTCTATGTGTATGGCATCTCTTTTTCATCCTGAGATATTTGTGTTCTTCCAATTTCACATATGTCGAGTGTGAGAAAAGTCACTGACACTCTCACTGGATTGCTGTAAATATTTGATCATGTGGGCTCGCTCGTAAACAAGACATTTTACTTGGGGCCTGGAAGGAAAGTTTTGTGTCACATACAGCCTGTCCAGAAAATTTCATGAAGATGTCCACATTTCAGTGCAGGTCTGAATGCAGCTTGTTTCTATTTTTGCTATTTCTTATATGTTCATCTGCTCCCAGCACAGCTCGTTCTCCTCAAACAGTCTACATAACTTTTATTATGGGTATTTAATGTACTCTAGCAAAATAACCAAAGGTGCAGGTTTACTTGAAAAGGAACATTAGCGCTTTTATTTCCTGACAAAAGATATTTTTCACTTAATGCGTCTTGTTAGCACATTTCCAACACATACATTAACACGGCCATATGGAAGTTTTATCTACAGATAGTGATTTACCAACTCAATCCACCATATGTCACACTTTAAGCAGGTAATGAGTGTAAAATTTACTGAACAGAGACTTCCTGTTTTAATCTTTGTTGTTGTTGAGGTTCATGCCGTCTCAAACAAGTTCATATTTTCAATCACTTATGAGCTGGTGTTCACGCTGGGTACACAGGTTTAAACAAGACCTTAAAGGTCCAGTGTGTAAGATGTAGGTGAAAGGGAACTATTGTCAGAAATGTAATGTAGAATAATCCTCATGATGTTTTCACTAGTTTGTTCTAAATTGTATGAATTGTAGTTTTCTTTACCCCAGAAAAGTCCCTTTATTTACATAAAGGGGACCCTCTCTACGGAGGCCGCCATGTTTTTTACATTAGTCCAGACTGGACAAACTAAACACCTTTTGAGTTTTTATGACAACTGAAGCTACCACAGGTTCTTTTTCATGTTTAGAAGGAGAGGGTGAGGTGAGGGGTGTTCAGCTGCAACATCCAACTTCACCACTAGATATTGGTTGACTCGCAGTTTACCTTGTGCTTTATCATGAGCTCTTTTAGCTTTTTAGTTCTTCAGTCCTTTCTCTTCTCTTTTCCTTTGCTGATCCTGCCCGAGCATCAGCCATGACTACAAAATGCAACGTAAAAAATAATATCTAATAAGACTGCTCCAGCTTCCTTTGAACCAGCCAGCATGCTACCCCTTGTGAAAGTTTGGCTTTAAATCCGGCAGTAAATCTTTTCTTTTGACCTCGCCGGTGGTCTGACCCGACTAGACACGGAGAATAGTTTATAGAAAAGTAATTTTTTTCTCCTGATTCTGTCTTTTCACTGTTGTAGGTCATAAAAATGAGAAAGTTTCATAACCTGTTAAAAACTGCTTGTAGTACATTTAAGAAAGTAAATCAAATGTGCATATAAAACAATGCAAGCATCATGAACAAAGTATGTGCAGGTAAGAACAAACAATTGTCAGGTGTTGACACATAAAACAAGCAGCGTAGAGGCAGAGTGGAGGAGAAACAGTTGACAGTTTGTTACATTAAATGCAGATGTTGACCCCAAATGTCATTTAGGACAAAATATCAACGGGTTTTAAACACGAACATTTAATGACAGTGGATGTTAGCAGATGCTAGCTATGACCAGAACGCAAGCAGCTCAAGCTGTTAAAGTGGCAACCAAATCACCATGGTAATCACGGTAACGATTTTAACAGAACTGTCTGAAATATTACTGCAGTATACCGTGAAACCCATTACTGTTTTATGCCTAGCATGCAGAGTGGAGAGGTTGAGTGGGGTTATTATTGCACAATAGTGTGACAACCTGGACCTCACCACATTCCACTAATTACATCTACAGAATAAATTTGTTTGCTCTATGAAATGTATTTTTTGCATGCATATAATTTCTCTTTAAAACACAATTCATGTGTTTGCAAAAATATATTTTTCTGTGCTCCAAATCTCACATTGCTTGCTCAGGAATGAGGCACAAACATAACACCATAGTTTTACACAGGGCCCAGAAGAATAAAGGTGAATCACAGCAAGTGCTGAACAGAGCTATCTTGGCGATACTGCTCAGGTGTACGAACTCCATCAAACCTGTTAATAATGAATAATGATCGGGCAGGTAAATTCACCAGAGATTGATACTAACAGCATTAGCCCATGCAGCCCATCAGCAATAATGAAATTAATAGGTAGGCTTTGAGATGCAAGAATTTCCGCTGAGTAAATTCTTAAATCAATATTCTTTCATTACATGTTCACGCCCCCTAAGTGGAGTGCTCAGAAGAACCTGGTTTTGTATGTGTGCAGGCATGCATTCCACGTGCATGTGTTTGGACCAATGACCACATATATCTTAAACATGCCCATGGCTGTCACATCTCGCTGTTATCTTCATTTCTGTCCCTGCACCTCATCAGCAGCATGTCTATCTGTTACGCTGAAGGGAAGGCCTGACAACGACCATTTTCATAATTATGTTCCACCCCCGCTGCACCACCACCCCATACATTCCTCCAGGGTACGAAAAAGGCACCACACCTTCTTACCTCCCACACGGGGACACACGCATGTCAGCGGTCCCATTCCACCTGCAACCGAGAGCATCAATTTGCATGGTGCTTAGACGGTCAGACTATAAAGGTCCAGCCTGCTGCTAGAGTAGTGCCCCGTCCTTCAACAATTACAGATAACAAGATGAACACTGGAATTGAAAGCCATCAGGGTTCCTCTTTCAGCTGAGTGTGAGCGACCGTATCAGCCCCCTCCATCTGTGTTAACCTTGGGTTTTTGTCTGCTCAAACTCAAGCCTGCCGTGTTTTCATTGGCACTGAAGTCAAGGTGGTGGGTGGGCAATGGGCGCACACACACACACACACACACACACA